AATAATTCTTTCTATCGCTAGATCTATTGACATTATCTGCTATAATTTGTTTGTTGGCATTTCATATTTGTGCTACAACAAATGGCTTATGATTTTTCAAGGCTGAGTCTGTTAATGTTTGAATTATAAACACAGAAGCCCAAAACACAGTTTTCTTTGATGGCTGTACCAAATCAACAAAGCGACAGAATCAAATTCATAAAAATATTTAATAGTATGTTATTTAAAGGAAAACATAATGCAGTACAGCATTTTAACAAACGGTATTATAGTAGATAGTATTTCTGCATTACGGCATTACGGCTTTACGGCATTTCGGCATTACGGCATTTCGGCATTACGGCATTACGGCTCACAGCAATTACGGCAAAAAATACGGCATGTGCCGTAACCGTATTAATTTGTAAAATTAATTCTACCACCAACTATAGTATTAATCATATTCTACTTCTCTAATCTTGAATAGCATTAAATATTGGCCTGAAGAAAGATGCAATATTATAATTTGTAAACCGAAAATCAATATAAAAGAACTTTTGTTCGGTTTCTAAATATAAATATTTGCGATTAAATTCTTCAATAATGGGGTTTCAAAATTGAATCTTATTTTATTTATCCGATTCATGATTCAACATAATAAAATGCTAATCCTATTTTGCGCCATTTATTTGTTAATTTTGGAACTAAATGCTAGATAGCCATTAAATCAATTCTTAAATTACTGCATTCTAACAATAAATTTAGCTTAAATGACCAAGAGCTTTATTATTTCTACAACCTCAAAGCGACCTTTTTTAGTAAATTTGTTGTGCACCTGGAAGTATTATAAATGACATTTGTGTTACATGCAATTGTAATTTTTCTGCACCTTAATATGGCTGATGAGTTTGTTCACGAAAGAAAAAGACAATACGGAAATATGCAAATTGCAGCCGGCATAACACATCTAAAATTCGGTGTCAAACATGCGGCCCACAGAAAATAACAAAAGGATGGACAAGTGGAAATAAGGATATCGATGATTGTATTAAAGAATTTCAGCTTAAAACCACAGATGTAATAGAATGGATTCCTTTTAATAAATTAGATAATATTCAAAGAAATGGTGATGGATTTTTGGCGACCTGGTTAGATGGGAAACGATATGTTGAAAAATGTACAAAGGAAGACGAATATGAATATATACGGTCACGTATACAATCTTATAAAGTGGAACTTAAAACTCTAGCCAATTCACAAAATTTACTATATATGTTAAGAGAAGTAAGATATTATATTATTATTATACTGTATAATTATACTGCTTTATTTTAATTCATATTTATATCGATAAATATTTAATAAGCTTATAGAATACGTACAGTTAAGTGATGAAGAACTTAAGGTATATGGACTAACTCAAAACACTGCAACAAACGAATATATGTTACAGTAGTTTTCGATGAATTTGGTTCTATAAAAGAGTAAAAATGGAAAATGTGTAAATTGCAACCGATATAATACTTCTGAAGCTTGGTGCCGAACATGTGACCCTCAGAAGACAATACAAGGATGGACAAGTGGAAATAAGAATATCGATGATTATTAAAGAATTTCAGCTTAAAGCTACAGAATATGTAATTGAATGGATTCCATTTAACAGATTAAATAAGATTCAAGAGGCTGGTGAAGAGTTTTCAGCAATCTGGCTAGATGGTATACGAATAATTTCACGTGTAAATGACGATAAGGGAAATTTACAGGAATGCACACAATCACATATACCATCATATTGTCGTGGCGCTTAAAATATTTCATGATTTCCAAAATTCAATAAATTTTTTAAATGAAGTTTATTATTCATTAAATCCATTTTATTTCATTTAAGGATATACTGTATTCATATTCCGTTTATTATATAAGATTAAAGATCTCATGCGATTAGAGAGTAGTAAACGTAAAGTATATGGACTAACTCAACACACTACAAAAAATGTGTACATGCTAGTATTTGATGAACTCTGTTTTAAAAGATCTTATAAATATGGAATATGTGCAAATTGCAATCGGCATAACACATCGCCAGTTTGGTGTCAGACATGTGATCCTCAGAAAACAACACAAGGATGGACGAGTGGAAATAAGAATGTCGACGACTGCATTAAAGTATTTCAACTTGAAGCTACAAACTACAAAAACGTAATTGAATGGATTCCTTTTAATAGATTAGATAATGTTCAAAAAATTGGTGATAAGTTTTCAGCAACATGGTTAGATGGAAAACGATGTGTAGATGGGGATGGACAGAAAAAGGGATACACACAGTCACGTACATCATCATGTAAAGTGGAGCCTAAACCATTGGCTAGTTCACAGGATTTATTAAATGGTTTAAAAGAGGTAAGATGCTATAATATGATTTTATTATACGTAAAACTATTCAATTAGAAATTATATCCCTAACCTCTATTATAAATTATTATAGTTTATAAATCATTTGCAGTTAGAAAGTAAAAACGTCCTTGGACTAACTCATAATACATCAACAAATGAATATATGTTGGTCTTTGATGAATTTGGTTCTAGAAGATACCGATCTTATGGAAAATGTGCAAATTGTAACCGATATAATACGTCGCCAGCTGGGTGTCTGTCATGTGACCCTCAGAAAATAGCACAAGGATGGACAAGTGGAATTAAAGATATCGACGATTGCATTAATGAACTTCAACTTAAAACTACGAAATATTAGGATTTAATAAAATGGATTCCTTTTAATAGATTAGATAATGTTCAAAAAATTGATAATAAGTCTTCAGCAACATGGTTAGATGGAAATCGATGTGTGGATGGAGATGGACAGAAAAAGGAATACACACAGTCACGTACATTATCATATATGGTGGAGCTTGAAGCATTGGATAATTCACAAGATTTATTAAATATTCTTTCAGAGGTAAGATGATATTATATGATTTTATTATACGTAAATTATTTAATCAGTAAAGTTATATATTTAATCTCTATTAATGTATTATTATATAAGTTTAAAGATCATTTGCAATTAAAAAGTAAAAATGTCTTTGGATTAACTCAAAATACTACAACCAATGAATATATGTTAGTGTTTGATGAATTTGGATCCAAAAGAATGAGTTTGAATGGAAAATGTGCAAATTGCAATCGATATAGCACATCAAAAGCTTGGTGTCAAATATGCGACCCTCAGAAAATAATACAAGCATGACAAGTGGAAATAAGGATATCGATGATTGTATTAAAAAATTCAAACTTAAAACTGAAAAATATGAAGATATAATAGAATGGATTCCTTTCAATAAGTTAGAAATATTCAAAGAAATGGTGATGGATTTTTGGCAACCTGGATAGATGGTGAAATGAAGATGAATATGAATATATACAGTCACGTATACCATTATATAAAGTAGAGCTTAAAACATTAACTAGATCACCAAATTTAATGGATAAGTTAAAAGTAGTAAGTTAAAAGTATCTAAATTATTATGCAGTACTATCTGTATGTTGTCTTATTTTAGATTTATAAATATTTAATAAGTATATAGATTATGTATTGTTGAAGAAAAATGAATTTAAAGCACATGGATTAACAGTAAAAAATGAGTATATGTTGGTATTTGATGAGTTTGGTTGTGAAAGAGACTTGGATTATGGAAAATGTGCAAATTGTAACCGGTATAACACATCGCCTGCTTGGTGTCAAGCATGTGATCCACAAAAGACAACACAAGGATGGACGGGTGGAAATAAAAATGTAGATGATTGTATTAAAGAATTTCAACTTAAAACCACGAACTATAAAGGTGTAGTTGAATGGATTTCTTTTACTAGATTAGATAATATTCAAAAGATTGGTGATGAATTTTCAGCAACCTAGTTAGATGGTGAACGATATTTAGGAAACGTATATAAATATATACAGTCACGTACATCACCATGTAAAGTGATACTTAAAACATTACATGGTCCTCAAAATTCATTAAATTATTTAGATAAAGTAAGTAAGATTAATTTGTTATTTATACATATCCGCGTTTATTAATACATACTTTATCGTTATATTTATAAGTTTAAGATTTCATGCAATCAAACGATAGTAAACATAAAGTATATGGACCAACTCAAGACACTTTAACAAATGAGTACTTATTAGTTTTTGATTTTAAAAGAGATGAGGATAATGGAAAGTGAGCAAATTGTAACCGATACAACACATCAAAAGCTTGGTGGAAATAAAGATGTTGATAATTGCATTAAATAATTTCAACTTAAAGCCACAGAATATGAAGATGTGATCGAGTGGATTCCTTTTAATAGATTAGATAATGTTCAAAAGATTGGTGATAGATTTTCAGCAAAATGGTTAGGTGGAAAACGATGTTTGAATCGTGAGAAAGCGGAATACAGTACATACAGTCACGTATGCCACTATCTAAAATAGAGCTTAAAGCATTGGATAGTTCACAAAATTTATTAAATAATTTAAAAGAAGTAAGATTATTTTATTATGTGTAAAACTATGTACTTAATTTCTATTATATATATTATGTATTATACAAGTTTAAAAAGGTTGTATACACAAAATCCCGACACATGAAATCCCGGCAACAAAATCCCGATACACAAAATCCCGACAGATTAAAATCCTGACACTCAAAATCCCGAAATTACCAAAATCCCGACACACAGAATCCCGACACTCAAAATCCCGAAACACAAAATCCCGACATAGAATCTCGACAAAAGAACCCTGACAGAATTTCAACACTCCCTCAAAACACAGAATCCTGACATTCGGAAACAAGTTCCCTATGTAACCAAGTTCCCGACCATACCATTTTCTTGACAATATTTTCCCAACAACCATTTCCCAACATATCCCTTTCTCTACAACCACTTTCCCGACAAATTCCCTTCTCCTATATGTCCTTTTCACCGACTCATCTTTTTCACCAACCTAGCTATCCTAACACTATCCTAATCTATTCCCGAATTATCCACTTCCCTGATTTATCCGGGTGGTGCGCATTTCGCCGACGATTTATCCACTCTCCGACATATTTCTTCCTTGCTATAACTCCTTTTCCCTTTTCCCAACATACCCCTTCCACAACATAACCCTTATCTCTAACATATCTCTCTTTCCCGACACATTCACCTTTCCCCTTCTACCACATATACTTTTTATTTATTTTTTTTTCAATTATTTTTAGCCCATCACTTTTTTTTTAACTTTTTTATTTATTTACTTTTTAACTTATCGACTTTTATTTTATTTATTATATTTTATTTAATTTTTAACTTATCGCTTTTATTTTTATTTTAATTTTTTTTAAAAAAATTTTCTAATTTATTTATTTACGTATTTTTATTGTTATTTTTGATCTTTTTTTAAAAAAATTTTCTAATTTATTTATTTACGTATTTTTATTGTTATTTTTGATTTTTTTTTTAAAAAAAAATTTTCTAATTTATTTAATTATTTTTTTTGAAGTTTTTTTGTTTAAAAAAAATTTTTTTATTCGAATTTTTTATTTTTATTTCGTCGTAGATTATTTCCATGTAAGTTTAAAGTTGGATACGGATCTCCTTTCTTATCTGTTATTGGTTTTACCTTTACTCGTGATATGCCACATTTCCTTATATACTAAAACGGAAAAAATTTTCGTCAAAAAATTAGCGCTATATAATGATATATGCGCTATATAGAGCTATATGTGCTATATAGAGCTACATGAGCTATATGCGCTATATAGAGCTATATGCGCAGGCTCCCCAAAATTTTTTATCGTATTCGGGTTTTATTTATAAGATTTTTTAAGTTTGTCCACTTTTGATCCATAGTTTTTTTTTTTTTTAAAAAAAAAAACCCCCGAGATAGCAATTATCCGGGGACGTCAGATGACGCTGTTTATTATTGCTAATTACTATATACAGGTATTATTCACAATGATTATTTACATATTTACATTAAATGCACTTCTTAACAAATGTTTGGCTTTTTTTGGTACTTTTTTACATCGCAACATTACTTGCACTTCCTTCATAATCCTATCCCTTCCGATAAAAGGTAGCGCTGCTTCTAATAGTGTGCTGTTTCCCCATTTCCTGTCTGTGCAAATTTCGTAAATAGTGATGATATGGAGCCACACAGCGACTGTGTGAGGGCGAACAGATCTTATGTTTGATGCAGTGATTATGTTTTCAATTGTAGTCGGTGGTGTTGAGTTTCGTGTAAAATCAAACATGCTACAAACCAACATCCATAAACTTCTGCTAATTCTGCACTCTGTAGCGAAGTGCTCTACTGACTGTAATTCATTTGGACACCATGGGCAATCCGATGTTTCAAAAGGTGCCACATATTTTAGTCTTTGATCCATAGTTAGATGTATGCATTAACTATGTAAACTTTATTTTAAATTATGTACGCATGTATATACTAAAAATATTATTTTCCAATCATTCCCAATTATAGCTATGTTCCGCAATTAGATGACGCGTTATTATAAGGATTTTATCATGTTTACTAAATATATGCTAAATCCTATATTGTAGCTTTTGCTGTTTTTTTTTTTTTCGAGAGTATATTGTACTCACTTTTGCTTTAATTTTTGTAGCATTATAGCTTTCTTCATGATTTTTTCCTCGTCTTTTTGAAGTTGTTAATTTCATGGTTCTTGGAGTCTCCTCTAAAGTCGTATCTTTTGGAATCGATGTGGCTTTTGGTGTAATTGACTTTAGGTGTTGTGAATATGTCATTATCTATGGTTTGTTTTTGCAGTTCTTGGTGTCCTCTTATCATTCTTTGTGGGTTGTTATTGTTTTGGAATATTTGCTAATGTTGCAGCTTAGTTCGTCTTTAATGTCCCTATCTAAATCATCTAAATAATTTATATCACCACAATAGTTAGAAACTAAATTTTTTACAGCAGATAACTATACAAATAATGATAAGGCCAATAGCGAATACAACCCTATTTAAATCATTTATGCAGCCATAATAGTCTGTAAGTATAGTAATCAAACTTTTTTTATTGCAAATCATTATACAAATCACTATAACTCCAATACCAAACTTGCACCGCCTGCACAGCCATAGAGTCTAATCAAAATATAAGGTCCTTGCATTGCTATCGCGGCCATGGAGCTTAATCACAATGTAAAGTCCTTATACTGCTATTGTAGTTGCGGAGCTTAATTATCAAACATGAGGTTCTTCACTGCACATGGCCTAATCACATAAGTCGTTGCATTGCTATCGCAGCCACAGAGCCTAATCACAATGGGAGGTTCTTGTACACTATTATAGTTATGGTGCTTAATCCCAAACATCATGTTCTTGTACTGCCTGCATCAGCCATAGAGCCTGATCACAATGTAAGGTTCTTCATTGCTATCGCAGCCACAGAGCCTAATCACAACATGAGATCCTTGCACTGCTATTGTAGTTACGGTGCTTAATCACCAAACATATAGTAAGATCTTTGCACTGCCTGCAGCAGCCATAGAGCCTAATTACAACATGGGTTCTTTATAGCAACCATAGAGTCTAATCACAACGTGCACTTAATCACTAAAAATGAGGTTTTTCACTGCCCGTAGTAGGCATAGAGCCTATCACAACATGAGGTTCTTGCATTGCTACTGCAGCAAGGGAGTCTAATACGGGACCCCCACAGCAAAAGAAGGGATGGGCAAAAAAATTAGAAGTTTAATCTATGATAATTTTATTCTAATCAATCTAATTCTTCAAGATACTGAATTTTTTTAAAAAAAATTTTTTTGGCCCATCCCTTCCTTTTGCTGTGGGGTCCCATATGAGCTCTTTGCAAAATTCTATTTAGATTTTGTTCGGATTGTTAATTTAAAAATGTGCATATTCTGTAATAAAAATCCGAACAAAATCTGAATAGAATTTTGACTTTTTTTTATAGGGGAAGCTCAATCACCAAACATGAGGTCCTTGCATTGCCTGCTAGCCATAGACCTGATCACAAAAAGAGGTACTTGCATTGCTATCGCAACCATGGAGGCTAATCACAGCATGAGGTATAATACAATATCAGATATAATGCGCTCATCTCTAACTCAAGCGCCTAATTAAATGCTAAAGATTTTTTTAACAATATTTACAATTTCTGTGGTTCATTTAATTAGTTTAATTCACTAATTGTTGGTTTGAGCGCGTTTCATAAGCAAACTAAAATAGACTAGTTTGATTATTATTTGACAAAAATATAATAAAAATCTTTTTGTCAACTTATCTTGTAATTCAGTTTCTACACGTTCACTCAATAAGATCTAGGTTCGTGACTTTTTTCTGTCCTGAACAGTCACCGTTACAAAGCCAGCCAAGCCAATCTGTATTTGTAACAAACGGTTTTAAACTCACAGTTTGTCTCAGATGATTCTGATAATGTATAAATGCTCTACCTAGTGATGCGCATGAATGCACATGGGTGTGCGTATTACATATTTTGAAATCAGAGCATGACAAAAAAAAAAAAAAAAGCAAACCATCAAATTTAAGGATAAAAAATTTAGATTGTTCCTTTAATCTAATATATTAAAATACAAACATGTACAGTTGCTTTTTTCGGATCAGTCCGAATAACGAAAAACTCACGGAACACGTAATATGATAAAAATAAGATCGGGTTCATTTTTTTAGAACCCTATCATTAATATATCTGGAAATTGCTACTATAATTTTTAATAAATTCATTTTTCCCGAAGTATCACGAGGGTTAAAGAGCTAGTAATTATTTATAATAAATAAGGCTAACACGTGGTTACCTACATAGTTTTCTATATACTGTTGAACCTCCCAAAATCGATCCTCTCAAAACCGATAACCTGTCAAATCTTAAAATTAGTTTACCAAGTTCGTTTCCAAAAGTTTATAACTTTTAAATCTGATAACCTCTCAATACTGATACAAAATCTGTTCACCGGTTTGGGGAGGTTCAACAGTATTATTTTAATAAAAACTAAAAATTTTAATTTTATTTGTTATTTTAAAAGCTGTTATTGTATATAAAATTTTTTAAATAAAGATATAAATTTAAAAAATTTATTTTTTTTTAACATTTTAGCAGTCTTGCCTCTACTTTATTAGGCTTTATAATATTATAATTCTGATTATTAAAATTTATACAAAGGCTATTTTTTTTGCTATCTAAAATTACAAGTATTGGCTTACCTGATTATTTATTAAATATCTATATACAACTTGCTATAGTAAAATTTATCTTCATACTAATTTACTCTGCATTTGAGTTTGTTAGTATTTTATTGAATAGTTCTTATAGCCTATCAAGACTACTAATTAATTTTTACCACTCTGCTTATTAGCTACTCTTAATTTAATTTAAGATTTTTTTTTTATTCTTTGACAGTCTTGTCAGTGCTTCAATACAAATATTTACATAGTAAAACAAAACCTATTTCTAGTAAATGTTTTTTGCAATTATGAGCCTGGTATCACCTGGCTATAAATACTGTACCCAGATGTGACTTGTTATACTGACTTACATATGTGTTAGGAGACCTTGTCAGCCTATCAAGAACTAATCTCTTCAATCTTTTTTTCTTATCGAGAGTACAAGAAAGTAAAATTCTGTATTACCAATATAGAACTAATATTAAGAAGCAAAAAAAAAACTAAAACTAAAAAAAAAAAACATATAATAGAAAGGGAAATCAAAA